GGCTGCAGACTGCTCCAGCAGGGCCGGGAGTGCGGGCGCCCGCGTAGCCTCAGCTTCATGCCCCGGCCTCAGCCTCAGCCTCACTCAGCCCCAGCCCCGGCTCCGCCGCGCTCGGTGCTCCTCCGTGTTCTGCGATCCATGCTCCTTGCTCCTCCGCGCTGCGCCCCGCTGGGCGCGGAGACCTCGGCGCATCCCCAGGTAAGCAGCGGCCGCTGGTCCCCAGCGAGCCCCGCGCTGCGGAGAGGTGACAGGCGGCTCCGGGGAGATGACAAACTTTCCTCCGGCCGCGGACGCGCTTGGGGACATCCCTGGGGCCATGGGGCTGCTGGAGCAGCGGGGGTGGGGGGGACCCTTGGATCAGACTCGCGCACCCCACTGCCGCTGCCGGGCCAGCTCCCAGCCTAGGGAGAAGGGGCAAGCGGTACCTATGAGCCGGCCTTGGGGTGGCGCACGCACTGGGGAACCAAGCGGCAGCCAGGGCCCCCGCAGCGAGGGCTCCGCGCAGCCCACTTTGCAGACTGGCCTCTGTGGGTCCTGAGGGGCGTGTGGAGGGAGAGAGTCACTTGTCCCTATCCAAACCCCACCAGGCCCAAGTGCCCTCCCAGAAGCCCCTGGACGCCTCCTGAGGCACACCCCACTCCTTGAGGCTCCAAAGGGGCTGCTCCTTTAGGGAGAGAAAGAAAGAAAGAAAAAAAAAAAAAAGAAATCGAATAGAGAGAGCTGCGAACACTCCTTAAGGAGACGTTAAGAGGGGCCCGGTGACCAGGCTGCTGGTAACCTCCTGGCCAGCCCGTGACTGCCCACTTCAGGTCCCTGAGGCTGTCCCAAACCAGATCACCGCTCTGAGTGTGGCCGCACATCTTTCTCCCTAGAGAATGCACAATTTCCAAGAGGCCAGCCCTGTGTCCACATTCTGGTGGAGGGCATCACTGTCCTCCATTCCTGCCTGGGGCTGGGGTCACTGGCACACTACTGGATGGTCCTTGGTAGACTTGACGTCCCCTAGAGACAGAGACTGGGCGCTCTTCTGGCCATGAGCTGTGTTTGGAAATGATCCCTTGGCCGTGGATTAACCTGCTGCTGGGGCTGGGTGTCTGCCTTTGGGGGAGCAGCCTTGCTGGGGTTCTTAGACAGCTCTTAAGCCGTTAGGTGAGATTTTAAGGACGTCCTGCCTGAGTTTAGGATTCTGATCTGAATCAAGAAGCCACTTTCCCAGGCTGCCCAAACCCAGGCACTCGTCCGGGGTGTCAGAGTCTGTGCCAGAGATCTTGGGGGAAACCCAGCTCTGATTCAGGAGGTAGCTTCAAACCTGCCTTTGATGTGCTGTGTGACTTAGGGCAAACCACTAGGCCTCTCTGAGCTCAGCTGCCATTTCTCTAAGAATGAAAACGTGCCGTGTAGCCTCAGAGATCCCTATTCAGACCACTGTGTGGCCTTGAGCAATGTGGCAGGTGGGATTTTCTCAAAATCTCAGGGTGTGTGTGTGTGTGTGTGTGTGTGTGTGTGTGTGTGTGTGTGTGTTGCATGTTAGTGTTTAGGAACCCAGGTCTCAAAGTAGATGATCTGAGTGGCGCCGGCCACTTCTCCACTGTAAAGTAGGAGTTTACAGATCCTGCTTCGGAAGATGCCGGGAGCACTGGCTGGGATGATGCCGGGAGCACTCATCACAATCTGGCAGAGTAAGGGCGCAGTGGGGATGCCCATTTGGAGGTCTTGTGCACAGATCCTGGGAACCGTTCCCCCAGGGAGGCTTCTCCAGAACCCCAAGGATCCTTAGCGGAGGGCCAGGGTCCCAGGTCTCTCCAATCCCAGGATACCTGCCTGCTGTCCCCGCCCCTTCTTGCTCCCTTTTAAAACCGCTGCTGGACCAGCTGCTCCCAGTGGGGAGCCCAGGGCAGTCTGGGAGGGCTGGATGCACCCAGCTGCTGCGTCGTCATGACAACAGGAGATGGAGGTAAGCTGTCTCCATGGCTTCAACTTTGCAGCTGTCTAGGGACCCAGGGCAGGGACGTTCTGTCTGTTCCGGGTCAGGCATCCAGTCTGCCTCGGGGCTGGGCATGGCAGGCTGCTGTTCCCGGCAGGAGCAGCCCATGCTGGGAGGAGTGCTTTCTGGGTCTGCGGTGGGGGTGGGGCACAGCCAGAGGCTGCAGGGAGAGGGGCCGCCACCGAGGAGAGTTTCATTTCTTTCTGACTAGTTGTGACGCTTCCCAGGGGATGGCCCCGGGTTCTTGCTGAGACCCTGGGTGGGGGAGCAGAGTTTGTCCTGTGTGGACTGACGTGGTGTGTGCAGATGGGCAGCTTAGGGACGGATCCACCATGCCCTGGTAGAGTTGGCACGGTTGACTTTCAGGACACTAAGGAATGAACAGTTTGCTCTCCTGGTGGACTAGGGTGCAGGGGGCACGTGTGTGACGGAAGCCATGTGCAGACGCTGCAGTCGTGTGCAAATGTAGTCATGAGGGGTGTGTGTGTGTGTGTGTGTGTGTGTGTGTGTGTGTGTGTGTGTGCACGTGTCTGAACAGCAGGGGTGAACTCGACTTCTAATGAGTGTGTGTGCCTGTAGGCTTATGGATGTGCATGCTGTGTGTGTGTGTGTGTGTGTGTGCCTCTGAGAGAACAACTACCTGTGAGTGTGCATGAGGAGTGTGAGGTGAGCTTGTGTTGTGCACTTAGGGACACACATGTCTGTGTGGTTCTCGGTGTGTTTCAGGCCTGTCTATACATGTCTAGAGGCAAAGCCCGACACACTGGCTCATTCCTCCCTGGGCCTGTGTACATCTCTGCATTCACATCTCTGCAAGCCTCAGTATATGAATTTCAAAGCTTGTGAGTATCACGTCTCTGCACATGTGTGTGTGCCTCTGTGTTGCCATGGACACTTGTGTGTGTGTGTACACAGACTTACATGTGAGTATGTAAGGGACATTGCATGCTCAGTTGTATCATGTTCATGCGTGTGTGTTTCTGAGTGTGGGCATCAGCGGTGTCCATTAGAGTGTGCCTGTGTTCACTGGAGTGTCTAACTTTCACACACATCTCCTGTGGGTGAGTGAGCTGCTGTGTGTATGTACCTGAGGTATGTTACTGCAGTGTGTGCCTGTGTATGGTCCTGTGTCTTCTGCATGTGTATGTGACTGGGTGGCTGTGGAGGCATGAACATGTGACGGGAAACAGGGTGAACACACAGCATGGACCAGCCCGAGCTGTGGTAACTTCCATAGTGTGCTTTGAGCTGGGCACCCTGTGAATGCCAGTCTACCTGTGCTACCTCTAAGCCTGCTGGGACGGCGTGCGTGTCTCAGGCGCTCCAGAGCACAGTGCATTCCCAGCCTCCTCATTGCCTACACACCCACATCTCTCTTGCGAGAAGCTCCCACCCAGGACAGTTGCTGCACACACCCACAGCTGCTGGGAGCACAGGTATGCATTCAGGCAGAACGTCTGAAAGTAGGCAGCTCCGATGTGCCGAGCATCTCCGCGGCGCTTCTAATTAGGAGCAACTTGTTTTCCTTAAATAAACAAATCAAGTGAGGAAAGAAATTGCCGGAGATTAATGGCTCCCCGGAGCAGGTCCAGATGTTTGGAAGGTGGGGACTGGGGTGACGCACGAGCTGGGTCTTCGGTCCTGGGGACTGAAAGGAAGGGCGCCTGCTCAGGGTCCTCCTGGTATGGGGGTGGGGTGAGGAGAGAGACACCAATGAGGAGGGCACAGGCCCTTCCCCAGCCTGGCTGATGCAGGGCCGTGGGATCCATGTGTTTCCCACCCCTTCGCCCCTGTCGATAGATAGCCTTGGCCCTGAGACCTCCTCTTGCTGTTGGATTCCCTCAAGGGGCAGGCAGTGTTTGCACTCTTGACCCCCACGGTTGGGTTCAGCCCCCATGACTGTCACTGCCCATTAGAAGAGGTCGGAGTGACAACCCGTGTGGCCTTGTGTGTGTGTGAACCTGGCTGGCAGGGCTCCTCTGGGGCCACGGCTGCCTCCCAACCCTGGTGTGAGCCTCAGGGAGGAGCAGAGTCCAGCCTGGTCACCAACAGGTGAGTCGGAGAAGGCACCGGGGCTCGTTTGGCACGCACCGTCACTGTGGTCCTAGCTGGGTGACACGGTGGCCGCTGGGTAGGTTTGACTCCCTGACCCTGTCTGCCCCCGGTGCTCTGTGGAGAGCGCCACACACAGTGTGCTGCTCAGGGTGGCCACCCCAGCCGCACCTGCTCTCTGCTCAGCCCAACACAATGGCACTAGCCAATGATACCTAGCACCACACATACTTTAAACACATGTCACCTGTCACTCATGGGAGCCCTGCGAGACAATTTCTGCTACCATCTTTTGTGGCGCCCAGAAAGGCACGTTGATTTATCTGGGGCCACACAGCCCAGAGAAAAGGCCTTCCTGGGGGAGTTCACAGAGGCCTCCTGATGTCAGAGAGTATTTTTTAAATATGATATCATATTGCCTTCCCAGCGCCAGAAGGCAAGGCTGACATGATAGATGTCAGAGCTCGTGAGACCTTTTCCGATTAGCTCGCCCGAAGGATACGTTGACGGGAATGGATCAAGGCAGAGAACAAGCCAGTGTTCGTAGGAATGTGGGGGAAATTTCCCAACCATCCGTCAGTCAACCCATCCCCCTACCCACCTACCTACCTACCAGCCCATGCATCTATCTGTAGATGCAGCTGTCCATCTATCCATCCATCCATCCATCCATCTGTCTGTCCACCTGTCTGTCCATAGACATATGTGCTCATCCATCTACCTATCCATCATTCACTCACATATTCATCCATTTGGTGTCAGTATTTGCTGATGCCGGTGTTTGCTGGGATTCCTCTAGGTGACATGTTCTGTGTTGGTCACAGCCGTCACATTGATGAGGTTCCCAGCTCTGTCCTCAGGGAGCTCACGGTCTGGAGAGGCAGAAGGGCCTGGGCTCTGGGGGCACCTGAGGTCCCTGAGGCAGGGCTGTCCAGTCCCCCCCACACTAGCCTTTGTGATAGAGGACATGCTCAGCTCTTTGCAAGTACCTGGCACATTGCACGCCACACTAAATGGCAGTCCTCCCCACCCCTGTATAGAGCAGACAGCCAAATGGCACAGAGCAAAGCTGTTCTGGGCGGCCAACTCTGGGAGGGTAACCCTTTGTCCTGCTCCGAACCCAGTCTTCGTAGATCAGGGCTTTCCAGGCTAAGTCTGGAAA